ACACACCCCTGCTGGATTGGTGCCTTCGGAAAGGGCACTGGTTGCCAGAGGACTACAACAAGAAGTGTGTCCGGGCACGAGAAGCCCAGAAGAACTTGGACGAGGAGTTCCGCCGACGTACCCATAGGCTGTCCATTGGGGACAGGTATGCTTCGTGAAGATGATGATTGCGGTACGATGTGGGCCAGTCCCCATCTGTTACTTGCGTCACATCGACACTGTTTCGGTGGAACGACTTATGTCATGATTTATATTCATGTGTCCAAGATGATTGGGTGTGTACATGGTTACATATTCCGATGACTATGACGCTCTGGATATTCATGGATGGAACTATTACCTTATAGATGATATCTTTTCATTATTTATGCATTGTCCATGGTATCTGGAATGGCTATGATTTGCATTGATTACTCACCGATGTTTCTTTGCCGGAGATATGCAGACCGATCACAAGCGGGCGCGTCTGGTGGACTTTTGTGGCCAACCCATTTATGGATGACAGCTGCGCGATGCGCAAATGCGGCAGCTGGAATGTTCACTGGCGGTCAAGTGAAGTGGCCACAGTGTATTATATACACCTGCATATGGATGTGTGCTTCGATTGGAGGATGAATGTTTCACTTTTCGTACAATCGAACCCGGCATGTTTCACAGCGAATGAACGGTGTAGTGATAGCAAGTAAAAGAATGCACGACACGATTTCGTAGTTGAAGCCGTGGCCAGTGGAACGTTTTGTGGTGTTTGGACCGCATGATGAACAATGCGACCCAAATGGGGGATGTTAAAACCCTCTAGGCCCCGTGCCGAAATTGGGTAGCTGTTCTGAGGTCCTTGTTGGTGTTGCTTCCCAAGTTCCATTGATCGCCATTTGGCTCAAGACACAATTGAGGTTCAAGATCTGATGTGTGACTGCAGACCTACGTGATCGGCATTAAGAGCAAAACAACTGCTTGCGCCGCTTTGTCAGGACCACTGGTGTAATTATCATTCCTTCTTCCTTACAACGTTTACACGGGTTCGGCTATAACGGCATCGTCCGTATACACCTTTCTACGTGGTTGGTATTAAAGCTTGAGGGTTCGGTGCGCAGCGTCCCACGGGACGTCACCTTGCCGTCTCTTGACAGGTCGGATGTTGCGGTTGATGAACATGCTTCAATGCAACAGCAAACAACACTCGCAGTGGCTCTTTGCAGAGATGCACTGGTGATTGGCGGCGCAAGTTGTGTGGTTTGGTTTTTGGTTGGCAACCTGGCGGGGCCCTTGCGCCGACTTAGCTCTTCTCATGCAGTGCTTTTGGCGACAACACATGCTGCCGGCGCCACTGGCCCCCAAGAAGGCTTGACATCTAGTGTGAATGCAAGCGCACATTGCAAGGGCGTGTTTCCCACGCTGCTAGCCCAGGTGGACTCGCTTGATTTGCGAGAGCTTGCAGAGCGGTGTGTAAGCTCTGTTCCACATTGCAGCGAAGAGGCTTCCGAAAGCTTGCCGCCGCCTTGTGAGTCTGACCCGCCTTGGCACAGGCGGGCCCAGCTGCAGCGCTTGGATCGACATGGTTCGCCGGCTCCTGATTTTGCTGCAGCCTTGCGGGGGCAGCCGGCAGGACACGAAGAGTTGCAGCTCGCCGTTTTCCAGCGTGGATCAGCAAGAGCTCATTTTCTCGCGTGGGAATTAAGGTGCCCTGTGGTAGCGTACCAAGTGAGTCAAGCAGTTGCGCTTCGCGTTCGCCTAAGCCGAACGTTGCGAGGACGAGTTAGTTGCCTGTCTGGAAATTTGCGCGTTTCTGTGACGTGGTTTGCGGTGGCCGCCCAGCAGCATGTTCTGCATCTCCGCGCCGTGCAACCGCACTGATTGAACGCAGTGTCAGCTGCTCTTCAAGGCAGACTTTGTTGAAGCTGACGGGGCCAAGTCTTTTTTCAGCGCAAACGCGCAGAGACACGTTCAGGCCAGTTCATGTCTCGCTGCCAGCGGTTCAGGCAGATCGCTAGTTTCTGCCTCCCAGAATACAAAGATGCCGCGCGCAACCGCTGGGCTTTTAGAGATGAATTGTCTCCTGCGGTAGGGGCATTGTGTTGTACTAGAAAATGCTGTAAAACACTCCATTTTAGCCCCTGCCGAACCGAGGGATTGAACGGCCCACCGAACCCAGAAAATAAAATGAACTCTGCCTGTCTTTCTTAGCTAGGTGTCTTTCTTTGTTTGTGTTGTTTGCTTGCTTGCTTGCTTGCTTGCTTGCTTGCTTGCTTGTTTGTTTGTTTGTTTGTTTGTTTGTTTGTTTGTTTGTTTGGTTTGTGTTGCATGTTGTGGTTGTTTGTAATGTTGGCGTTCGTTGTCTGCATGTTTGTTTGTTTGTTGGTTTGTTATTTAATTGGGCCCCGAGTTTTGATCCGCTAGGTTTGGTGGGCTGGGTTTCGGCCAGGTCCTGGAGGTCAGTCGGACGGTCGGTCGGTTGGTCGGCCTTCGCGGCTCGGGTTTTTTGTAGCTTTGGCTTGCCATCATCAGCGTCACCACCATGAAGCCTCAGTTGCAACACTGCAAGGATAGCGGTTGTAACCCTAGACGAGCCTAAGCAAGCCCGAAGCCACCCTAAACCAACTAACATCAACCAGCCATAAACCCACCCAAAGCAACCCTAAACCCACCCTAAACCACCAACCGCCAAACCAGCGCTAAATCATTGCTCTACCAGCCTAAGCATACCCGAAACCTAGCCAGCACGATGCCTACCCTAAACTAACCCGAAACCCGAAACCTGCTACACAAACCGTAAGCCAACCTAAACCAACCGCAAACCCACCCTAAAAAAACCCAAGCCCTGCCGAAACCCACTGTAAACAGTTGCTTGAACCACCCTACGCTGCATCTGGTGCTGCCGGGAGTGTTGAAAACCATGCTGGGGACGTTGACGGACGGTGCTGGCGTAAAACAGGCGCCTTGTGTTAGCAAATGCTGTAAAACACTTCGCTGCAAACTTAGGCGGAGCCTAGGAAAAGAAAAGCAAATCCACCTATTTTTGTTAGTGTCTTTGGTTGTTTGCGTTGTTTGCATGTTCGCATGCAGAGTTTGGTTGGTTGGTTGTTTGCTTGGTTGGTTGGTTGGTTGGTTGGTTGGTGTGATTTTGGTTTGTTTGCTTGTTCGAGGCGTTGTTTGCAATGTTGGTGTTTTTGTTTTGTTTCTTTTTGTTTTTTGTTTTGTTTGTTTGTTTGCTTGCTTGAATGTGTTGCTTGTTTGTTTCTTTGTTTGTTGGTTTCGTTTCGTCTCGATTCGTTTCGTTTCGGTTCATTTCGTTTCATTTCGTGTCGTTTTGTGTTTGTTTGCTTCTTTGTTTGTGTTGTTGTGTTGTTTGTTTGTGTCGCTTGTGTTGCTTGTAATGTTGGTAGATTTTGTTTGTTTGTTTGGTTGGTTGGTTTGTTTGGTTTGGTTGTTAAACATACTAAGAACGAAGTGGGTGTATGTAATATGTCAGGAAGAGCACCGGGGGCCATGTTGGCTCGAGTGTCATCGAATGCGCATCATCTTACGTCTGGAGGGAGAGGACTGCAAAATAATCATTCGGATGATAAGACTTATGATGAAAGCGGTGTAGAAGCGGAGGGGGAGGAAGTGGATGAATATTTTTATCGCCGCCGGAATGGCAGACGAGAGAAACAAGGTGATCGACGCAGTGCACGCAACAGACTCAGAGACTGAGAAGGTGATAGTGCCACCATGGCCGAAAGCTACGCAACTGGAGAGTTGGAAGATGACGATGCGTCGGCCAGCCCAGACGTGAAAGCGTGGACTGTCTGGCTTTCCAAACCCTGTCCAACCAACGCTGACCTTGATGATCTGTCGGATTCCGAGGATGACAGGTTTGCAGTCATTGGTATCAAACTGTCCATCGCTTTTCGTGTCGGGCGACGCCAAACATGTAATGCTGGAAGTGACTCGACACGCAGAGCTTCTTCAAGAACAAGGCTTTTGACCAAAGGGAGAGAGACCGTGGCAATGATTGCACAATCCTTCCGTTGCAGCGATAGATCCAATTTGGTAGTGTGCCACCGAACATCTCACAAGATTGGAATATCCTGGCTTAAGAACTTGTCAGTGTTCCAAACCAAACAGTATGTTCTCTACGTCATGCCATGCGCGTCAAGGGTCGGCCACAAGAGATCACTTTGTGGGGCATCTTATACAAAAAGGTCAAAAAGAAAAAGAAGCTGGAGTGTGAACTGCGCAAAATGTGTGCGGGGCTTCCAGATGGGGAAACCAGTCAACAACAGGATGAAATCCCAAGAGAACGCAGTCCCCGCAAAGACACAAATTGCACCCAAAGGCTACAGCAAAGCGGCTGGTTCTTCCAACCCCAAAGCAGTGCCTGTCATACCCAAAGTCACAGCTAAAGGGCTAAGAACAAGGGCAAGGGTGAAGAAGAAGGAACTGCTATGCTGGCATCGTTTCAACAAAAACGATGGCTGTGGCAAAGGGAAAGAGCGTTCATACTCGGCCATACTCGGCGAAACACAAGTTATTTAAGGCGCGCAACTGCACGGGTCGCTGCTCCTGCCAAAGCTGCGTCGTTGCACTGAAGGCTGCGGCCGGACCTGGCGAGGAAAGTCCCCTCGCCTCAGAGACCCCAAAAAAACAACAATTACATAGGAGGCGAAGAGAGTGAAACAGAAACCGAGACTTCTCATCATGAGAGTAATAAGGATGCTATGAGTGAGCGTCGAGGTGGTCCGGTCAGACTGAGGCACCCGAAATGGTATGGTTCCAGGAGGTCAGAGACGATGATGAAGACGGTTCGTTCTCATACCAGAGAGGAGAGCAACTCGATGTGGTATAGGCAAGGAGCAAATCGAGAAACTAGACAAGACCCAACTTCCGCCTTGGTTGATTACCAGTCCCGGATGTTTGCTGCACTGGTTTGGTGGCTGGGTTGATTCGTTTGCTTGCTTGGTCTGTTTGTTTGGTTGAATTGCTTGGTGTTTTTGCTTGCGAACGTTTGATGCGCCCAGGCGCAACGTTGCGAAGGCCAGACGGCCGCATGCAGCTGCTCCAGCACGGTCGACGTGAACACCAGAAATGGCCTGGTGAAGGGCACCTTGTTGGAGTCCGGCAGCCAGGAGCAAACTCTAGCTCTACACTCCGTTTTGGAAGTCGGAAGCCAGTTGTTCAGAAACGCCAAGAGGAGACCAATGACAGGGCGAAGCCAAAAGAGACAGCATGTTTTTGTGGGAAACCGCAGGAAAAACGACCAACCACCTCGCGGGGGTTGCAGACTTGGGACACATGGCCCCGCCCGTGCTGACATGGAAAGGAGAGATTGGTGGCCGGCTTTTTCAACCTGCCGTTCGCCTTGTACGAGGGCAGGCGGCCAGCCCAGAGTGAATGTGCCAGCAGATTCCTTTGGGGCAGTTATTTGAAAGCCAGCGTGAACCAACAATTCAGGGTGCAACCCCCTTCGACACATCCCAAGAGTTTCGTTGCAGGAAGGAGGACTTTACATTAGACATGGTAACATCGGACGATCCCTTCTGGTGCCATCCCAAACTTTTCTGTGTCACTTTGTAAAACGCTGGGCAGGTGGAACTTTGCCAAGCCGCTGAAAGACGTGAGCGGGGAGGAAGCATCTGACCATTGCAGCCTGCCCTTCCTCCACCAGCTACGGACGGGCACCCTGGCATTGGGTTCAGTCCGAAAGAACCTGAGGAAATGCACCGGTCCTTGGGAAGTTTGGCCAAGCGGAAACGGTTGTATTGCTTCACTTCAAAAGAAACATGTTCCATGAGCCGAGAACACCGCAAACGAGCAGTGAAAAGCTCCAGGGAGAGCACGAGTTGGCCATTACAGGCGTTTTGCACCCGGCAAGTATTTTGCAGCCTTTTTGTCAGACACCAAGCCACCTTTCGAGAACAAATGCCGGAGTGCCATGCTTGGACTTGACGGTTTTGGATTTTGTTCAAACGAAAGCTGAAATCAATGGGGCCTCCCCCATTTTAGAACCAGGGGAGCCCCGTGCAGAATTGGGGGAGTTTTCACCATGCGACCGTCAATTGGCAGTCTGGCGGGATCCAAAGTCAACCGACAAAAACCAAGGGTTGAGACCGACAGATTCGCAGGCTTCTCTTCATTTTTTTTCGCTGCAACAGCCTGGGAAGCCAACGGGGCTCAAAATGAGACCGGAGAAACCTCCGCAATTTTAGGCCCGGAAGCTGCGAGAAAAGGAATCCAAATTTCACCTCTGAACTCTGTAGTCTTCAAGAGGGTCGAAAGCTGGAAACGCACCTGACACCAAACCAATCAATATAATATATATATATATAGTATGTGTAGGTATTCCGTATCCGTATTATGTATTCTATACTCGGAGATTCCAAGACTCGGTCCGAGACTCCGAGCACGGGCTGTGCTTCCAGTGGCTGCCCGGGCTGCGCCGCTTCGGCCGTGAGAGCTGCCTCACGCTGGACATCTACTCCCCCGCCATCGTGAAGGGCCAACAAGGCCGCGGTCTCCGCGGAGACGCGAAACGAATTGGCAGAACGAGCAGAATCGAGCACGAGCAGAAACGAAACGAGGTGGCAGGGCTCCTGAGTGGGTTCCGAATGAATTAATGGACGCGGAATGGTTGGAGTCCTTGACATGATAGTTTTAGGTGTTGTTTCTTGGTTTGAGTGTTTTCAGGATGTTTTTTGCATTGAGCCGGAAAAACAATCGTTGTATGTGTCAATGCAAGGCATGATCCCAGTTGTTTTGGACCTATCAAATCAGCTGCACCGCCGCTTGTAATTTGAAGGGCAGCAGTGTGTTGCAGGAGCGGCCGTGCAAGTCAAACATGGGGCTGCGCAAGTAAAGCGCAAGTGAAGCGCAAGTGACCCAGTGATTCATCATCATCATCATCATCATCATCACCACGCCCCAAAAATTAGCAAGTTTTCGCGCAACTCCCGCGCAAGTCGCGCGCAACCTGCAGATGCCCCCAAACTGCTTGGAGCAGGAGTGGCCCATTTCTGTTTTTTGCATTTTCTTTTTCTGCAGATCCCAGCAATTTTGCCGATCTGAATTTGTTAGCAGAAAATTTGCAGCGGTGTATACACATGAGACCCCATACAATTAAAGGGGCATGCTGGGGGACCTCATGCTGACCGTGTGGATTTGCAAAGAAAGCAACTTGAATGCGTTTTTTAAAGCCAGCTCGCATTCGTCCGGGGTGTTCTTGGCCGTCGTCTCGTTGGAATTTGGAGCTATACTCGTTGGCTCGCAGGCGCCTCAGCCTTCCGGGTGGCCAAGGCCAAGCTGCCGGTCATGGTCTTCATCTTCGGGGGCGGCTTCCTGGAGCCTCGGCCGGCCGAAACGGCCGAAACGGCCGAAACGGCCGAAACGGCCGAAATCCCGGACTCGTTTCAGCTGTGTTTGTGACTCGCCTCAAACCATCCGATCCTTGTCTTGACTTTATCCGAGCAGTCAAGCCACGCAGCTTGAAGTGCAAGGACAGCAAGAACTGTGACGCAGGGTTTTGCAACAAGTATGGTCAGAGCAGAACACACCATGCCTTTCTGAAGTAACGAGACATCAATGCAGAATGTCCGCCCGCAATTTCGAGCGTATTCCTCTTGCAATTCATAGCCATGCAACGGGGATGTGCTTCAGGTGGGAGACAAATACCAGCAGGGCATCTACGACGGCAGGAAGCTGGCTCGAAGTCAGAACGTGATCATCGTGAGCATCAACTACAGGCCGAAACAAAGAAGCAAAGAAGCAAAGAAGCAAAGAAGTGAGCCAAGCCGCCACTCGACTTGGCCCGAGGGCTCAAGTTGTTCCCGTTGAGCCCTCGGAGCGAACCGAAAGGCGGGTCGGCCCTGGCTTTTGGCCATCCAATCTCCGTCAACCATGTTACAACCATATCTAGGGCGCGCCTATCATGTGTGCCAGATGTTCAAGGGATCCTTGTGCGACATGAACTCCATTTTTCTCATGACCTTAACAGGGGCCAAGCTTGTGGTTTTGACCAGAATTGGTCACACTCGGGGCTTCGATGCATTGTCTGGGGGTTCTCTCCCCTCTGGGCCTTAAGGGCTTCCGACGTTTCCGACGTTTCCGACTCGCAGGCTTGGAGTCCTTGGCTTCTTGCACCATCCCGACCTGCGCGACAAGGACCCCTTGCGGCCGATCGGAGGGTTGTTTGGAGGAACCTGACTGATCGTGAAGAGGAGCTGGTTGCGACGGAAGCTTCAAATTGGTGGATGCGCAAAGGTCAGCGTGATTGCCCACTCACACCGTGCTGCGCAGATAGCATTAGAACTCCTTCACAGCAGTGGATTTGTCTGAAAGGGGAGATTCCAACAGTCGTTGCTTTTGGTCCCCTTTGAAACTGGGAAACGGGTACCCTTGGAAAAAGGCAGCGCGGGGCCGCCTGCTTGACCCCGTCGGCCATTCTCCGTATAGGACCTTTATATTTGCGCATGTCTTTCGGTACTGTGATTCGCGCGCAGCTCTCACGGAGTGAGAGCCCTCCTCACCGCATCTTTGCCCCTCAAGACGGGTGGCATTTGTCATGACCTGCTATGGGCTACTTTGCTGTGCGCCCCTCATCCTCCTCTTCAAGGTTTGGGACTTTGTGGGCTAAACCAATCTATTCAGATTGGCAGCGGAGCCCTACGACAGGCCCCCTTTCATCCGTTTCGTTGGCCTCAGCTGCCCTAAAGAAATGAAGACGCTGACACTTGAGAAACGGCTTGCGCCGTTTCACAAGAATAACGAACAAGAATCTCAGGAATTCGCCCTCCACCTCCACTGCAATATCTGAAAGCTAAGCGAGCTGCGTCGCAGTTGCCACCGGACACCTACGGTCCCGACCCTACCAGGTCCTGCTCGACATCACTAAGAGGGAAACACGTGTTGCAGAGTGACGTTTGATTTTTGCGAAGGCTTTGTTCACCCTATCGAACGCCAAGCTTGGCAGCGCGGAGGCAGGCGCCCGCCGTCCTGGGCGCCCGCCGCCCCGCCCCAGGCGCCCGGCCCGGGCATGGCGCACGCCCCAAACTAGTTGACCCCGAAGAACGACGAAAACTTGCTTACGCTCCCCTTGCCTCTTGGCATTCTCCAGAGAGCGGGAAAGCGCCGCCGCTCTCTCGCCATTAGCCGGTGGAGTGCTGACTTGCTTGAAGATGCAGGAGAGTGCATCATGGGATTCTGGCTCTGCCAGATGAATCTGGGATGCGCTCGCGGCAGGAGAAGGGATTTGGCCCGCCCTTGATGCTTGGCCTTGTTTAATGTCAAACCTTGCGACCTGCGAGCGACCTGCCGAGTGGGGCACCGTCGAGGCCTACTGCAGCGAGGATCGAGAAGTACGACGAGGCGCACCCTGCCCTGCCTACACCGATGCTCGCCGCAGGTTCCAGGACGCCAAGCTCGTGAATTTCTTCCGGTTGTTTCCCATCAGGTGGACCTGGCCGAGGAAAGGGTCGTAGTTCATCTAAGGGCAAGGCCGGCAAACTGGTAGACCATGAGCCGTTGCACTATCAGCCAAACTGTGTCAGATATAGGGCCGATGGGTATTGGGCAAGCAGCTGCCCCAGCCTCACACGTCCCCATCCTCTCCAAAATTGAAAAGAGGCCCGCCATCAAAGATGGTTCTGCGATGATGGCTGGCACCGTGCTCGACCAGCACGGATTCATGGCCTACCTCCACTCCCCACCGGCGTGATCAAGCTTGGGTCGCTGCATCAGTTCGGTGGCGACAACTCCAAAATGAGCAACTGGGTCGTCAAGGTACTGATCTTCCTCAGCTTCGCAGATTGCTTCTTGCTGCGGGGCGAGACGCCCTAGCGCAAGGAGCTGACCGGTGTGGGAGTTTGAGAACTTCAAGAACGCAGATCCTGAGCGGACCTTGGCCGCCCAGATCATGTTGAAGTGGCCAGGGCGCCGCCTCATCGTCAGCTCCTGATTATCGCTTGAAGCCGGCTGGGCAGGTCGATGCGACAAGGAGCTGGTTCCTGGACGCCACGCAACGTCTTCGTGGCGGTGGATGCCACCAGCGTACCCTCTTCATCCTCGACACCTTCAACGTCGCGACAAGCAGACGCCTCCGGCATGTTCTACCTCTTTGCTGTCTGGCGAGGTTAATGGCGCTACCAACCAGGCCTTGTTGGCGGTTTTTCCCGAGCCCTCAAGTTCGCCAAGCAGAGCTCCGACTGGGTTCAGCGCAGTTGCTATGGCCGAGAACCCGAAGTATGTGGATCCCGTTCTCCCTGACTACAACAACCGCGAGCCCTACGCCTGGTCTTGCTCATAACCATGGGACACGCTTTGTGATGGAAGCCGGCTGCCAGAGTGACGCGGACCAGACCACCTTGGTGGACATCACTAGGAAGAGCTCAACATTAGCAAGAAGACGGGCGGAATGCTCGAACCAATCCTGCCGGACAGGAAGTGCATGTTGCATGCTTGAGCGTGTGGACCCAGAGTGCAGCTCCTTGCAGGGTGCTGGAACTACAAGCCGACGTTCCTGCCGAGTCTGCGCTGCAAGCCCCCGTGTGATTCGCGCATCTTTGCCTCCTCACCGCATCTTGGCCCTCCTCACCGCATCTTTGCCTCTCAAGATGGGTGGGCGTTTGTCATGACCTGCGTGGACATACGCAAGCCGCAGTGAAATCAAGCGCTTAGGCCTTTGCTGTGCGACCCTCATCCTCCTCTTCAAGGTTTAGGCCAACCAATCCAGAGGCACTGTCTGGGATTATTTGAAGGGGACGCCAAGGTGAAGGGGCGCCTTCCAACCCAACTTGCAAGAACTTTTGGTTCGCCGTTCGCTGCTCGAGGACGGCCAGGCTCTCATGAACTTTGGGCTGCGCGATCAGCTGGAAGGTCTGAAGTGGGTGCACCAGACGCTTCCCCGCAGCGCCGCGTTCGCTGTTCGGGGCTTTTCCGAACTGGATCGTTCCAGGGCGGTGTTATTTTGAAGGGGTTCTTGGATAGGTGAAATTCAATTCCTCCTTCGGGTGCAGTTGCAAACTTTGGAAGGCTGCAAATCCGAAGCAAAGTGGGCCGAAGCCTGAAAGGCATTGACATTAAACCAAAACTTAAGCAAAACTTAGACCAATCCTCAAGCAGCCCTAAAGCAGCCGGAAAATAGGCATACATCAACCTCAAGCTTAACCCCCCATGCCCCGACCATGCCAACCCAAACCCCCAAAACCCACTCTATACCACAGACCAACCCTCCTGAAACCATGTCTGCGCCTGCTTGACGCACCCCGCTAACCCACCGGATCCACTCAAAACCAATACAAGCCAACGGAACCTGACTCAGCCAATCACCCTCACCCAGAATTCACCAAACAACTGCAAGAGGAACACGAGAAACAAGCGCCCCGAAGTGAAAGATATGGGTACTCCGCAAGTTTTTCTGGCTGGAACCGTCTCAGGAACATCCAGAACTTCGGCGGGGACCCCGATCGCATCACTCTGGTGGGCGAGTCCGCTGGTGCCATGTCCATTTGCGCCCACATGGCTTCGCCAGTCGCTTGGCAGGACGATGAGTTTTGGCGGTAAACTCACGAGCTCCTCCAAATGCGTCTCGCTTTTCATCTTGCTTTCGCATTGACCAAACAGGGGTCTTATCTTACAAACAAGCAAGACCTGGGCAGTAGGTTAGAGGAGAACGGCCAAACGGCCAAATAAATTGGGTGCGGATGTCTGCTCTTTTGATTTACATGATTTGGGGTAGATTTGTTTGATACCGGGCTTGATTGTGATTCAATCAATTTGGTTGCAGGTAGGTTATACAATCATGAATTGAATGCTTATACAGGGGCAGTTGGGCGGGTTCCGAGCCGAGCATTGTGCGCACAAGACGTGGCCGGGGGAAATCAAGTGCATGGGCGGCAAATTCGGGGTTCCTTTGGAGACAAATTTGTTCGGATGTGATCCTAGGAAGCACGGATTTGGACCAAACTTGCATGGCTCAGCGTGCGATCCTAGGAAGCACGGCGCCTGTTCGATGGGGTGATCCTTGAGTCTACGCGCGGGCCTTAAATTGGGGCACGAGCTCCATGTGGCTACGAATCTCATGAGCAAGACAATCACAGTTCTTTTTTCCTGAGGGGTCCCTGGTTTTTAGACATTGCTATGAAGTTCAATGCTTGGAACACCGACTCATAAGTGGCTGGCTGTTGCAGACATCCAATCGGTTAGATGATGACCAACTGCTCCATTTCCAATGAAACCTTACATCCGCGGATTGAATCTGTGTGAACCGCGTGTCACCCCAGGAATTGCGATGGGCTCTTCATTTGGCAACCGCAGAAGTATGCAGAGGCCACTGACAAGGGAGAGACCTTGCCCTAGGATCATGTGTGCCATGGTAGAGAGCGAAGTCGGTGTCTTGGTAGGCACCGAAACTGGCTTGGACTGGAGCTTGACCATCTCTGAATCAGGCAGGCCTTGCTCGCAGGAGTGGGGTACCCGCTACATCCGCTCCGTGTTCGGGCGGATCCGGGGCTGCAACACGCTGCTGGGCAGCGATCTGGAGCACTTCCAGGAGCTCGCGGAGCTCGCGGAGCTCGAGCCACTCGAGCCACTCGAGCCACTCGAGCCACTCGAGCCACTCGAGTGTCCGGTGAGCCGTAGCCATGTCCGTGTGAACCCGTGCGACGACTTAGGTCCAAATGAGTTTTGGACACGCGCAAGAGATTCTTTGGCAGACCGGGGCCGTTAGGGGATTGGGGAGCTTGAAGGAATGGACGCTGGGAGTTTCAAGCTGAAGTGCTTGGCAGAAGCTCCACAAGAGGCAGCCAACCCCAGAAGAACTCGTCGGCGCACGCACACACTCGAGCTGCCACTTCCCCGTTGCCCCGAACCCTTGCTATCATCTTTCATTAGAAACCCTTCAAACATGCACGGTTACAGAAATCGAAGCATACTTCTGATGTCCAGCAGAAAGGTCCAACCAATTGAAGTTCATATGGGGAGTGTCGTGTTTTGTGATTGTTCGGGGTTGGTGTCTTCCTTCTTTTGTGCTCCCGGATTCGACGCTTGACCCCCGGTGTTTGCAGGACACCGAGAATGCTTGCAGCTCTCAAGATACCGCCACCCTGGAGGAGGTAGCTGACCAGAAGCTTGGCAAGATGGATAACTTGAGAACTTTGCACGGCAAGAGTTCCCATTTTCTGAAAATCTGGGGAGGCCCCCAATGTCACTGTTAAAATTGTCTTTTTGAAAGATGTTGGCTCTTGGGTGGACATGAACACATAGTTGGGTTTATTTGACTACCCATGCTTCATGCAGTTCTCGTTCAAGTTGAATTTAGGAGCCTCGGACCTGAAACCCTGAACACAAGGAAACAGTTGGTTAATTCGATAATTCTTGTTCCTTTATCTGCGGAAGGAAGGGTTTGTTTCTCCCGGATGATCTGCTCACTGAGGTGTCAGGACATCTTCCGCGGCTCAACGACATTGGGGCCCGACGCCATCGTCACGGAGCTGCACTGGCGGTGGATCTGCAGGAAAATGCAAGGGATCCAAAGGGGAATTATTTTTCTGTTTGGTTTTTCGATTTCACGTCGCGGATCCGGTGTTAGTTTTCGTAGGGCGTTTGTTTTATACTAGGGCTGGTCTTCTGGTGGGTTGGTTGGGTTGGTTGGGTGGGTTGGTTGGTTGGTTGGTTGGTTGGTTGGTTGGTTGGTTGGCTGGCTGGTTGGTTGGTTGGTTGGTTGGTTGGCAACATCCCCAGCATCACCAGCATCACCTGGCCCTGGGGTTGCCTATTGGCTCTGATTGGGTGGCAGTTGGGACTTGCTGGGGGGTTGGTTTAACTTAGGTGGGTTTTGGCTGGCTTAGATCTTCAGGTCTTGCGGGTCTTGCGGTGGTTTAGGGTTGATTTAGGCGAAGCGAAGGGCTGACATCCGGGCTGCTGTTAGGCGGGGTTAGGGTTGACTTTGAGTGGGTTTGGTTTGGTTTGGAGCTGATTTGTGTTAGGTGTGCTGCTGGTTTAGCAGCGGCTTTAGGATTGCTTTAGGGTGTGGTTAAGTGAGTTTTGGTCTCGTTTCGGATCGGTTTTGGGGCGTTGCCCCAAACCACCAAAACTCGCCCAAAACTCACTTAACCACTCCCTAAAGCAACCCCAAAGCCGCTGCTAAACCAGCAGCACACCTAACACAAATCAGCTCCAAACCAACCCAAAGCAGCCCGGATGTCAGCCCTTCGCTTCGCCTAAATCAACCCTAAACCACCGCAAGACCCGCCCTCATGAAGATCTAAGCCAGCCAAAACCCACCCAACTTAAACCAACCCCCCAGCAAGTCCCAACTGCCACCCAATCAGAGCCAATAGGCAACCCCAGGGCCAGATAATGCTGGTGATGCTGGGGATGTTGCCAACCCTGCAGAAAACCAGACCTAGAAAAAACCAGCCCTACTAAAAAACAAACAAACACCGTTACCTTCATGTCGGTTCCTCTATATGATTGCTTGTTGGCCAGCTTAATTTTTTTGGAGGAGAGAAAGAGGCCATTGCCCTTGCAGATGCCGGATGTGCCTTTGTCGATGCTAGACCAGGCTTTCCCATCTTTCACTTTGCTGGGCCCTGTGGTGGATATTCCAAAATTTGCGTGCCAACCAATTAATATCGTAGCCATATTTCCTCTTGGGCGGTTCTAAACATCACCTTTCAGAACAGGGAACTTCCTTTCTTTTTCCAAAAACATCACGAAGGGTTCTTCCGGAAGAATCGCCTGCCAACTCGCACAAGCACACTTGCACGACCAAACACCGCGCCGCGCGAGCACGCACACTTGCAAAAACAAACGCGCACGAGCACACTTGCGCAAGCAGCACGCTTGCGTGAGAGAACTTGCGCGAGAGATCAGAATTATTCTTCTATGACGGCGTGGTGGGGCTGAACGTGGAAAAGCGACACCCTTTGCTGCGTTGGCGTGGTTGATGTCCAAAAAGGAAGGGGCCTTTTCTACTTTGCGCGGGTTGTGCAAAAAACTGAACTTTTTGGATTGGCGTAGTTGATGGCCAGAAACATGGGACGTGTTCTACTTTGTTGGGGGGATCGGCGTGGTCCAAAAGCCGTGAAATTTCTTTTTCCCCTTCGCGCGGTTCCCGCGCGGCCCTCTGGAGTGTTTGCGGCTGACGGCGCTTGCGTAGAGAACGGCCCTGTGCATTGAGAACGTGCGGGACACTTGTGCAGAGCACTTGCTCAAGTATGCTTGCGTCGAGAACTGGGGTAGACAAGCTTGAGAGGATAAATTTGAGCCGAGAACTTGCTGCAAGAAGTTGCTCAGAACACTGGCGCAGGGACACTTGCAAAACTTGCGCACAGACCACTAGTGCAGAGAACATGTTTCGCCCACCCGTTCTTCTGCCTGGAGACAGCTGTATTTTTTGGAAACCTGGCTGTGCACAACATGGAGTCCTCTGTTTTGGACCCTTTTGTGTCAAAAAGGGACCAAGGTCGACCGGAAAGGAACAAAAGTACCACCTTTGTCTGCCAAGGCACAGCTGCTTCCCCTGGAATGGACCGGAGGCGGGAGGTTTTGCTTCAGCTTCTCTGGTTTTCCGAAGGATTTGGCCATAGGCCCCATAGGTTTTGACACTGAAGCCTTGCCACCTTCACTTCTTCACTTTCACCTTTTTCACGGACCCCCAAGGCGGGGCAACATAACGGGTCTTACAAGGGCTCCCCGAAATTTGTTAACCCAAAGATGTCTGCGCAGTGGCCAAACCGTTAACGCATCCTCAAGCCAAGTGTTTCAGATTTCATTTTTTCTTTCTGTGAAAAATGGGCTTGCGCCTTTTTCGCGACAGAAAAGCTCTGTAAGCCGGGACCTCGGGACAAGCGACCTTCACATTGTTTTGTTTGCCGCGCGAACCTCCCAACTGCCGGGTTGGATTCGCGGATTCGAAGATTCCGTTATGCAAATTCGTGCTCGCTTGCTCGCTCAGGCGTGTGAGTAGCTTGAAAAGCTTAGAGCTTGCCCTTCGCATAGAGAGCCAAAGGATGCACATTTGGAATCCATGCATGTACGATGTGAATACGGGACCCATTTTGAACCGTCGAGGTGACTGAGCCTCAATGATTTCTGAATTCCGTTCCCTTGTCTTTGCGACTTCCGGACCGTGCGGGGGCGGGGTGTGCGGTGTGAGTCATCCATGACATTTAGGGTATAGACACAGCATCGTCACCTGAAAGGCTTGGGTCCACTGTGTTTTGGCTGAAGCGGGCGACACATGCCCCAAACTTTTTTTTTTGAGCGATTGCGCGATGTGTTGGAGACGGAAGGGCGCAACAGACTGTGAGTGAAAGGTGTGAACCCATTTGCGGCTTTGCGGCTTTGCTCACGCAAGGCTGCGATGGCGAGTACGGCCACTGCCATGACCCTCAACTGCCCTCTGGCACACCTCTAGACTTGGCGCTGCTGCGCTGTGCGGCCCGTGCCGGGGAAGCAGAAGTGTGCTTCTTTGTAAGCCAAAAGCGGAAGGAACTTTCGGAAAATCTTCCCGAGACGCATGGGAGGTTTGAAGGGTGCCTTTCACTGTGGTGACTTTCCACAGGGCCTGGAGGATTGCTTTGCATGCCCGAGAGGGCTCTCGGGTCCCCAAAAAGCGAACCCCTTTCCGGACTTGTTAGATAGAAGCAAAGACTTGGAAGGGTTCCAAATCATTTGACATACATGTTCGTGGGCAGTATCCTCCAAACATGGTTGGTGGCAATGACTCATGCAAATGATGTTCACCACATACCAAATTTGCTTTCGAAAGTTGCTGCTTTAGGGTGAGAGTGTCGACGAAGGAATGGTTCCTAGTTCCCCTTGCGCGCCTTGCAGCCGAAGGTTAACTGGCATGCCAGTTCACATCCGACTCCAAAGCGCTGGCAGATATGATATAGTGTTCTATAGGGGTGTTCCCTAAAGTGATCCGATCCGATCCCCTCCCAAAAGCAACCGGTTGATCTGGCTCAATTTTGCCCCCCGGAAACTCCCTGAAACAGTTCGCACACTGGCAGGCGAGGCTCGGGTGAGGGGCGTTTGCAACCTGTTGGAGAAGGATGTTAGGGGAGAGTTGAGCCTAAAATGTCCCTTTTGGAATCTCTTACGAAGTATGCAGAAAAGGGAGTCTGAGACTCTGAGATTGACTGTAAGCTGAATGTATCCGAGGCAGGCTCATTGCATTGCATGGCTTGTCTTCACCCACTCGGCTTTTGATCCCTCCCCTGGCACTAGGTTTGGACGTGGGCAAGGTGTGGGTGAACCAGTTCGGAATCACGCACCGGCTCCTCGGGTTTACGCATTCGCAGAGCCGATCGAATCGGGGGCGTTGTCGCGTTTTCCTCAAAAGTGATACTGGTTCCCTTGGGAAGTACCCAGCTTCGCATTGCCCACAGATTCAAGGCTATTGGAACCTTCTCTCAGTTTGAGGAGTGAGAAACCTGGGCTCCTCCCTGGAGTGCCAAATCATCAGTTGCCCAGTTTGATAAGGGAGAGCTTGGTGTGTTTGGATCAGTTGGTTTTTGGGTGGCTAGTGATATCACTCATACCCCTGATACCGCTGTTGTTCCTCCACGAGTCGCCGTTTTTTGGATCCGAAAAAGATCCCCCGGTTTTGCCCCGAGATTTCCAGAGACTCGAGGCGTCCGCTGTCGCACGCCACGCTGCTGGAGAAGTTGGCAGGGCTGGAGTTCACCGGGATGCCGCTGCCGCCCCATCTGCCCTGGGCCCCCGTCGTCCAGCCACACGGAGACGCACTCCGCACTCCGCACTCCGCACTCCGCACTCAGGGCATTCCGACTGAGCGCAAGCGATCTCGAACTTTGTGAAGGGACACACTTAATACATAAATTGTATTGAATTGCCGTGTGTATGCAGATTACATCCTCTTCTTGGGGGACTCAAAACTCGCTTGGGTTCTTTTCATGAGCGCGAGTAGCCTGCAAACTTTTCCCCGGCGCCTTTTTCGAGCGACAGGACCGGTCGATCTTCATTATGCTTCTGGCAGCGGGCTGATGACTTTGCCATCAAGGGTTCTGGCACAGGACGGGAATCACAGCTTGTCGGTCAGCCAAATCCTCGACGTGTCGAATTTTGACGGGAAGCAATGGCTGGGGTCAGGCTGCCTGAAAGGCGACCCTAAGCCGTACTTTCAACAGACAAGCGGCTCGCGGTATCTTGTTGCCATCAGAAAATACCACCTCCACTTCAGTTTGGTTGACGGTGGATGTACGAATCATGGTGTTTGCTCCTTGTATGCTCATCGAAGTTTAATGGTTCAAGAAGGGAAGCTGAAATTTTAGACTCATGATTGTTCAATCAGGCATTGCAAACTCAAAGGCAGTGAGAAGCTTGACCCAGGGGCGTTTCTCATTTTCGGCCAAGCATGAAGCGCCCTGCCCCGCTCTCCAGGTTACGCCGAGGATCAGCATCGCGGCAGGTTTCAATCGCGACGCTTCTTGACTCAAGCGAAGCGTTGGTCAACGCTTTTTCAAGTCTGGGTCAACGCTTGGTCAATGCTTTATGCAGTTATGTGACATCTGCAGATAAATATTGTTATCTATTTTGTGTTCTTTTTCTCTTCCCGCTTCTTTTTCAACTTTAACGCACCTGCGAGGAGGGCACCCTGTTCTCCCTGCTGGTGCCGCACTTTTTGGGGGACGTGGACCGCAACGGGGACCTCGCGGAGCCGCAGTGGCGCGGCATCGTGCAGCAGCTCGCGTGCCCCAACTACGGCGCCGCCTGCAACATCTCCGGCTGCACCTACGTCGCGGAGTGCCAGGACCGCGTCACGCGGGTGCTGCCGCTTGGGCGGCAAGGGCTCGGTCGGGTGCATTGGTGCTTTGGTCGGGTGCAGGTCTTGAGTTTTGACTTGCACGGTTTAACATCATGCCCCTCATCATTCATCTGCATAATATGTATATATATATATGCTCACGGATGCATTTGCAGGCACCCCCAATGTTATACGTTTCGTTGTTTGCACGCACCCTGCCAGTCATTTGCAGGTAGTTCCAAGGGGACTTCTTCGCTGTTTTCGGCAGCCTTTGGCAGGACTCTTGCTGATTGTGTGTAGAATACCATGAAATCGGCCAATTGAATCCCACATCACAACATGGTAGTAAACACGCCCAAGGGAACCCTGTGTTTAATGAATCCCAAATCACAAAATTGTAGTAAACGCCCTCTGTTTGATGAATCCCACATCACAACATGGTGTAAACGCGCCCAAGGGAACCCTTTGTTTGATGAATCCCATATCACAAAATGGTAGTAAACGCCGTCTGTTTGATGAATCCCACATCGCAACATGGTAGTAAACACGCCCAAGGGAACCCTCTGTTTGATGAATCCCATATCACAAAACGGTAGTAAACACCCTCTGTTTGATGAATCCCACATCGCAACATGGTAGTAAACACGCCCAAGGGAACCCTTTGTTTGATAAATCCCATATCACAAAATGGTAGCAAACGCCCTCTGTTTGATGAATGCCACATCACAACATGGTGTAAACACGCTCAAGGGAACCCTCTGCTTGATGAATCCCATACCACAAAATCGTAGTAAACGCCCTCTGCTTGATGAATCTCACATCACAACATGGTAGTAAACACGCCAGCACCAACTTCTGTTTGATGAATCCCATATCACAAAATGGTAGTAAACGCCCATCTGATTGATGAATCCCACATCGCAACGTGGTGGTAAACAACCCGCTGCTACAGGGTGCTTGGGCTGACCAAAAAGGCGTTTTGCTGAAGGTCAAAAAACCGAGATTCACGTTTCGCCTGCGCGAAGCGGCGCCTGGAAGTGCGCCCTTCAAAATATATATACATGTCACGGCCCCCTGCATGACCCACGTTTTTCTTCCACAAAATCACAGGGAACCATTGGCAGACGACGAACAAGCGACAAACACCCATTGCTTTTGGTTTTCGATTGAACAATAATACAGTCAAGCATTGAGAAGCCAAGAAAACACAGTGCGTTTTGATGGTTTCAGCAAACAACTGTCAACCACCCAGTATTTTTTAGAAAGCCAGGAACACATTCAAGCAACACATGGTAAGAGCTGACATGTTTTTCAGATAGATCCCCAAGTGAAAACCCAACAATTTCCAGTATTTTTGTTGTTTGCAGCAAACACCGCAGAATTCGTTGGGTTTCAGCATTGCATCTAAGTGTGTTCAATTTAAAGATGCCCTGCAGAAGCTTGAAGTCCTTTCACCCAATCCTATTGGCCTTGCGTTGCATGTCTTGCCGGTTGTAAAAATCGCGCAGCTCTAATTTAAAACTTGGGAATCAGGGAACCGCTGAATGTGCCAAGCCACCCGTTCGAGCATTGGAAACGCTTTGAAATGAACACCGAATCTCGCACGCCAAGTGCTCGCCAGTGAAACCACACGCTCCACATGCAGCACAGCTGAGCTGGGCTGGCAAAGGCCTGAAACAAACAAAAGCCTCAAAGACATCATCAAGCAATACCTGCAGGAGGGCTGACTTCACTTATAGATAAGTATATATAAGACACATATATAAGATACATATATAAGATATATATATATATATATATATTTATATATATGTATATACATACATATATGTTCCCACGGTCCCCTGCGTGTCTTCTTCGCCTTCCTGCTGCTTGTGAGCTTTATAAGGGATTGCGCCACACCTTGCACACTAAAATACGGCTTTGCGGAGGGTGGCAGTCCTTCTTCGTTTTCCATTTGCCTTTTAGGTGGTGTGGTAGCCACGGAGACCAGCGATCACTTCTTTTCTCATTGACGTAAGAATTAATGACAGAGTTTCTGCGCGTCAACAAGACTGCCCCCTTTCTGGCGACTTCCGAATTGGTCTGGAAAGCAGCCGAAAGGATGACAGATCGCTGCTCCCCACGTGCCTGCGCCAAGTGGCTGCCGAATTGCAACACAAAGACTGCTTGATCGTGCTTTGGCAGTTCCCTTATGAGATTGTCAAGCGACGCCCGCGCGCGCATTGTCCAGAATTAAGAGTTGCTGAAGCCCTTACAAAAACCCGAGCTGGTGTCTGGAGCAGAATGCTGAACTGTGCAATGTGTTGTCTGGAAAGCCTGGGTGCACACGCTTCCTTGAATATGAGCACGCTTTCCTGAATGTGCCAGTTGCATCTTCTCTCCCAGGGAGCGATGCATGGTGACCTGATTTGTCTTCCAACCTATCTCACCAGGCCACCAGGCTGCAAAACAGCACCTGTCGTGCTTTGTGGTGGTCCAAGGCGGGAATACAGATTCGAGGCAAGTCCATCCAAACTTCGAGGATCGTGCTGCTCGAAGGACCGCAGTTCATGCAACAGGTTCTACACAGCTCGGGTCAGGAGATTCACTAAAATCGTTCGGCTCAGGTCAAAGTGTGCTGGATACCGAGGATACGTCCCTTTGAATCATTTTCTTCAAACAGTCACATTCTTATGGGAGCATGGTCTCACAAGAAGGGCCCCTCAAATAGACCTCAACACTGGCACCAAAAGGAGGCCTCCTTGTCCCCCCTATTTTTAGACCCTGGCCTTGATCCTTTTCAATCCTTTTCAATCCTTTTCAATCCTTTTCAATCCTTGTCAGGTCAAAGGATCCTTGTCAAACTGCCAGGATCCCAACACTTTGCGGCTGCACCGCATGCTGACGGACTACTTGCTCCTTTGCACTGAACCCGCTGACCCGGGCACAGCGCCGGGGACGTGCGTCTTGAGTTGAGCGAGTCACCCCACAGAGAACGAGCACCAAATCCGGAGATTTCCGACATTCCCTCTGATTGTGATCCTTCGATGCGGGCTTCCCTCTGAAAGTTGGGATTAGTGTCAACTTTCAATACCTAAGACCGAGGTTCGCATGTCCCACCATGCGCTTGATGGACACCATGGGCCGGAACTCTTCGCGGCGGTGGGCCTATGAGCACCTTGAGTATATTTGGAGAATCGCCCAACCGGTTGGTTTCCTTTAGGCCCAGGGCTAATAGGGATGGTTTCCCTCAGCTTCAGTGCGTGGGAAGCCAGCAGGAAATGGATCCGACCAGGTCGGGTTGAGTTTTCCATGACTCTCAGGAAAGAGTGTTCAGATCCTTTGAAGGGGCCTTCGGGAGTTCTGTGCGAGACTTTGGCGCGGTCGTTGCTCATTTTCAGCACGAAGGCGCTGAGACTGAGAATCCTAAATGCTTGGCCCACGGTTTTCAGTTGACACGTGGCGGACTGGGAGGGCGGAGTTTAGGAAGATTCTGGCAAATGGGGCGCGTGTGCGCTGTGTAGGAAAAAGGACACGGAAAAAGGTAAAGCCAAGGGATTTGGCAAAGAACAATCAGTTCAACACTAAGGGATCCACCGCAGACAAGGAAGATGTTTCCTTCTTCTCGTCTCTGCGCCTTTCCCTTCTCTTTTCCATGTCCTCATCTTTTGCCCTGTTTTCTTCGTCTTGTTTCTTGTCTTTCAGATGTCCGCGAATCATGAGAGCGCTCAATCAAGCAGAAAAGGATCAATCACTCCTTTAGGCAAGGATCAACTAAGGAAGATCATGTGGGAATTTGTCTAGGGTGCACAGGCTAAGAAGGCGGCCCTGTAAAGAAATCAGGAAAGGGTCCGTTGAGTAACAGGATGTTTTCCAACCTGGTAAAATGGAGCCAACTTAAGCTGAACGTTTTCCCCATAGCATGGTCCAACGTGTTCCTCTTGGTTTGTGTTTAGCACAAGTGCATATGACAGCCATTCTGTTCACATGGAGAGGATCTTTCTGCACCTCATTTCATTCACTTGGCTGACTTTCCTCTTCTCGTCGAATCTTCCTTCCTTCGTTACTGCATTCCTCCGCTTTATCTTGCTTTGATAGTTTGATCTTCTTTTGTTTAATCTTTCTTTACTAAGCTGAATTTCCTCTTCCGGGTTTATCTTTCTTCACGAACCATTTTGCTGAGGTAGACAAAAAGAGGAGCATGTGTGTATTTGATTTTCTGAGCAGACTATGCCCTGATCTGCGCGATTGAATATATTGGGCCAGGTTTCCACACAAACATGTGTTTAAACTTTAAGCACAATCTTAGTATCAGAAAGGAAGATCGCTGATCTATCTTGTAAAATGATGTTTCAGCAAAGGAAGATTGATTCAGGAATGAACGATGACTCGAGTAAAGACAGCTTGCTTGAATAAGGACTGTCGCTCGAGCAAATGCGGCATAGGAAGATTGATTGAGTTTGATATTTTGATTACTTAGTCTGTTCCCTTTGTCCTTTTTGCTTCCCTTGCTCTTTTCCTCTATTCTTCCTCTTTTCTGCTTTCTCGTCCTCTTTTCTTTTCCAATTCCTTTTCCTTTGAGGTCCATTTTGCTAACCAAGTAATGTGGACAAGGAAGACAAAACAATTTAGGAAGCGAGGCAGAGGACCACCAAGTTATCTTGATCTTCCCCTATTAAACTGGTTTTTTTTGTACTAACTGAATCTTTCCAACGACACATTTCCCTTTGTGCTGTCTTCACGTTGCGCCTTGTTCCTCTTCCCTCGTCCCTTAATTTCTTTCTCTGCCTTGTTCCGCATTATTTCAGTGGCCATACTGATCCAAATGAAAGGGGGTGGGATGATTTTTGTTATCCCTTTCTTCCAGTGGTCGGGATGTTCTTGTTCGAGATTGGTCAATTCCGAAAAGACACATAACAAACCGTTCTGCTGAGGGCAGGAAGATCGGCTAGTTGAAGAAGAGCAGCATAAAGTGCCGGGCAGACAGACGAGGAGATTATAGGAAGATTGACCGTGTAATGATGACTAGTAGAACGCAACCACAAATATCACTTTGGAAGACGTGGCATCAAATTGGGTAAAGGGACGAAAGAGTCAAGGGAAGATCAATCGAGTGAAGCTTACCCGCTCTTCCAGAAAGTTGGGGCTTATTTTGTTGCTCTTTGTCTTCTCTTCACTCAAAATAAAGCACATGCTGGTTTGACAGCCATCTTTTCCGACTTAATATTTTATCAAAGGAATATGGTATCTTTTTGAACTTGATCTTTGGTTACCAGATTGGGCTTCCTTAACACAAATGATCATCCCACACAAGGTCCATCTTTCTGTAATAGACAGCGCCTTCTATAGTAGATTCAACCCGCTTCATTGATCTTCACATCCTACGAGACCATTCACTCCTTGAACACCAGGCTATCTTTGGCCTGGCACATACTTTCAAGCGACTTAGTGCTTCTTTCCGTCGAGGACTGCATTGGCATGAACTTGCTTCTTCGGACGCATGGACCAGAGTCCAATTCCTACAGCGTTCTAGCCCCCCCCTTACACGAATTCTCGCATCCATTTTCCGCACGACTTACTCCATGCGTCCACTCCTCGGTGTCACCTGAACACCCCACTTTGGACAGATCAAGTTGGTACAACATTGAACATGCAGGAAGCTGACCCATGCAATTTGGCAATGTTGCGTGCTGCTGTCTTGTCGCCGACCTCGTACGGCGGCTTTGCGTTCGAACAAAGGCAAGACTGAAGCCTTCTGGCTTCAATTTCCAAAGGGCTAAGTCAACTGGCTCGTTTTGCTCGTTTTGCTCGTTTTGCTTTGTCTAATTTTGAGTCCAGCAGCCGCAAGAAAGTGCAGTGAGGTTTGAGGCCGATGATGAGCTTCCTTCCTGGCCGCCGGGCTGGCAAAAGGCCGCATCTCCTTGAGGGCATTTGTGTTTACCCCGCGAAACGCGCTTCATTTTTATTTAGGGGCGGGATGTTTCATTGAGCTGCTAGCGTTTTTGTGCAAGGAACTTCGAAAAATGCACGGAAGATCTCCAATGTGTTGGTTCCTGAAATTTCAGGCAAGCCCTCAATGCATGCACTGATGGCCCGTTGTTGCTAGTCCTTAGTTTTTGTCCTGGCCTGTTTCTGTTTGCCTCACGGGCGTCCTTTGTAGGCTCAGTTTGGTCGAACAACGAGCCCTGAGGTTGGTAGGAATGATCGTCCCCCAGAAAAATGGAATTGGCACCTTGAGGAGAATGATTCCGTTTCAAGGGGAACCGTGACCACGGCGCACAGATTCGGAGCTTTTATCAGGCGAGCCGCCGCTGAGTCAAACGGCGGAGGGTGTTTCTCAACTAATGAACGTCCGTGTGCAATTCCAACGCTGACTGGGTGAGTTACTTGCTAGTTCCACTTACAAGGATAGTTGCTGCGTAATCAATGCCAAGAACACATACCAAGGTTAGGGATTGAGCTAATGACTCAACTGCGATCGGGACGTGGTGCTCTTGGAATCTGGACGACGTCCTTGCTTTCCCATGATCTGAGAGAAGTTTCATGTCTTTCCCAATGAGGATTCCCGACATCCGCGGCAGCTTGGGCGCCTTCCACGTGTCTGAGCTGCTCTTCGTCTTTGGCAACGAGGAAAAGGGAGAGGGAAGGAACAGGAACTGAAGGAAGTGAAGGAAGTGAAGCAAGTCGGAAGGAACTCATTCATGAGACCGAACGAGATCAGGCGGGCCCCGGCGGCCACTTGCCCTCGGAGGGCGGCCTGCTGGGCATGGGCCTTGGCTTCTCCAGCCAGGCGCTTGACGCGCCTGGCGCTCGCCGCTCCCCTCGCTCGCTCGAGTTCTCGCAGCTCTCGAGAGTTCAGATTCGGAGAGCAGATCGAGTCGGGTTCACTTTTGACTCGTTTGACTCGTTTGACTCGTGTGACTCGTTCCCTTTGCGCGGAGAGCTTTGCTTGAGCTCGAGGTATCGAGGGGTTCGGACCCCCGGAAATGGACACAATTGATACAAAGATACAACAAAGCCACTTACTTGTGGCACTTATGGCACGCGCATCGCAGGACAAGGTGATCGCCCGGAAGATGGCCAATGGCTGGGGTGCTTTCGTGCGCCAGGAGGATTCCGATTGCTTCTGGATTGCTTGCACTTTCAGCGCTTTTAACGCTTTTGAGCCTGCCGTTGATCCTGATGACGATTCTTTCTTTGCTATGCCGCTTGTGTTCTTTGTGCAGCCACAAGTCCAGCGGGTAGCTATCAAGCCAAGGTTACCGCGATGTGTAAGCATGCAATGTTAGACGTATTCCGGGCCCATCCCAAGGCTTGAGGCGCCAATTTGTTTGGGTGAACAGTGACTTCGGACGAATCAAACAGATAAGCAGAGGCAACGTGAAAACCATCCCCACTTGTTTTCCACCCCATGGAAGAGGCTCCCTTAACCCATGATCTTCTGCCCCCCACATCTTCAGGAACGGGGTTGGGAACGGTATTCGAATTCGGTCTTCCCGGGCGACAGGAGCCGCCAGAGTGGCCGGACCTGAGCAGCGACCAGGTGGCACGCTTCGTGCTGGACATCCCGGGAAACGCGGCTGGGCAGTCGGCTCGGGAGCACACGATTCGTTCGATTCGTTGGGACATGGGAAGGCCTCGGTTCGTGAAAAGGAACAAATTGGGGACGTGGGGGGAACGGGACAGGTGACCGGGGTTCAACCGGGCCCCAACCAGGCCCCGCCCAAATGAGTGGTGACGGGTGCAAATTGTGAGTTCGTGCGCCAGCTCAGCAAACAATTGACTACTTTGGCGAAAAGAGTTGCTTGGCCACGTTGGCATAATCCTTCGAATGTTTCGTTGCGGCAAGCGGCCAGGGATGACACCTGCGAGCATACCTGAAACTTTCTGACATGTCTGAAGCCCAGTCCCCGACACTGGGGTTGGGAACGGGGCCCCATTTGCCAGGACCGCACCGACAAGTTCAGAAGCCAACGAACAAACTTCGTAACTTGACAAGGGTCGAGCAAACTTGGCTACTTGGCAAAGTGGGCTTTGCGTCGAAAACCAGCGTTCACACGCATTGCGCAGGAGGGCTTCTCAAACTATAGTTGTTCACAGCGTTAAACCTTCCGCCACCCCCCGCCAGATTTTCCTGGTATGCGAGGATAAGTAAGCACCATATGTGGCCATGTGTTTGTTCAAGCCTCATTGCCTGCTTTTTCACCCGCACAGCAACCTTGGCCAAACCAGCCCCCCTGATCATTTCCTGGCTTGCTTCAATGGGAATCATGGCGAGTGCCGACAAATCAGCCCTCGGCGTATGATCGACTGTCGATGGTTTCTGGGGGCAGCTCCTTCTTTTGTTCTGCGGCGAAAAGCAAAAGGTCCGGATGGACAACGGGAGATTTCAGAACTTGTTTTCTAAAGCAAGTCACTGACAGGTTCCGCCTCCCATTTGAAGAGATTGCGTGTTGAGCCAAGTTTACTCATACGGTTCGTGCCTCCATCCTTCAACAGTTCATAGCAACCTGGTGTCACAAGGAAAACCCACCCGTCATTGGCTTGCAGCCCACAGCAATATGTGCCATGGTCACAAGGCTTAGTAGGGATTGTGGACTAGGGATTCCTAGCAAGGAAACCTCAGCTTCGAGCATGATACGTTCGTCAAATATCTGATTTGGTGTGTGGTTGATTGGGGGTTCGGGATATGGGGCTCATTTACTTTTCAAGGGACAGAACCCCAACTCTCCCATGCCCATTATGGGAACTGAATATTTTCAACCAACGTGGCTCACATGTTCAGTGACGTGAGCAAGAGCCAAGGTGGATTTTACGTCTCAGAGTGTGATCAAAGATACTCACCACTGCGCGTTTTGGAATGTCATGCTGGAGGAAATGCTGTCTGACTTGAAATGAAGTCCACTTTAAAATGGATTTCAGCGGGTCTGTGTTTTGTATGCTTCAAGCCTGCGCGCTGACCAAAGGGTCACGCATGTGTGTGTTTGTCTGCGTGTTTTTGCTTGTGCTGCGAAGCTGCGCAGCACCTGTCCAGCGCCGCGAGTGGAAAAGGCCTGTGACAAGCTCTTGAACAGGTGGCACCTGCGGATTTCTTGCCGCCAGTTTTGACATGGCTCAACGCTAGCAATGCATCCCCAACGGGCCCGTTTCTTTCCGCAAACTTGGCGCGCCAAGCATACCCCGGCTGCGCATTGGCGCCGCACCTCAAGCAGATTAGAACCATCCCACAGGCTTGTTATCGCAGCCATGGCTTCTTTACCGTCGCGACCTGCGTTTGCGGCCGGGGCATGTTTTGGGGGCTGGTGGCGATGTGCTTGGGTGTTTTGTTCGAGGGCACCCCTGTGGGGGTGGGAAACCACCCATTTCAGGGGTTGCCCACGTGGAAACGAATCCACATCAATGTGAGCCTGGACTTTGAAACGCTTCGTCCGGCAACAGGGCAACCTCCCAAAAACATGATCATGACGCATCACTTAAATTACACGTAGGTTTGGTCAATATATTTAGTTTATGTTTTATTTGAGAGGGACATGAGACTCACTTCACTTTCCCCAAAGCTCGGGGACTCGCTCGTTTCCCCTATGTCCAGTAGGGCCGATTTGGGACAGGCTCCCAAGCCATGCCAAATGTGTCAGCTGCACTGAAACTAGGCGGCTTCATTGCAGCGCTGTGACGCATGCATCAGGCCTTTGGCCTTTTGTTGCACATGTCTCAACGTGCCTTCCCGCCTTTCTGGTTGAATCACCAAGTCTTGTGACGACCGATGCTTGATTTTGTTTGTTTTGGGCGACTCATTGCACCCGCATTTGGCAGGCTCCTCCAGGAGAAGTCGCAAGCTTCTGCAGCGCCTCGATATCCCTCACAAACGGAATCTCGTTTTCGTTTTCGGATCCGAGAACGCACCGGGGATCGAATGACCCGAACGTCCTGAAGGCCTGCGACAGCCTTGGGATTTTGCCAGCCTGATGTCCCTTTGCCCATCCAGGTTTGGGCCAACTTCGAAATTCCCGGTTTCTCAGAAATGTCATCATTCTGTAGCTGTGTTTACGGCGTCCAGAGAAGCAATTGGGCAAAGTCGAGTTGTTCCCTCGCTTCTCCCGAGGCTCGGCTCAACTTGAGCGTTGGTTTGAATTGTGGCGTTTCGCGTTTTGAGCGGCCGACTTCAAGCTCCAGCCCGTGTTTTTGATGTGCACATGAGAGTTGTTTTTCCCGAATGCGTAGGAGGGCTCCCGTTATAGAAAGGGGTTTGGGGGTCAGCGTGTGTTCGCGAGGTGCGTCGCATGCGCACCGTCCGCAAGTCGCAAGCGGTCGCCATTCGCAGGCAAAAGTTGCCGTGCCTTTGGGAAGGCTCAGAATGTTCAATGTGTACGAAGTGTACGGCTCACTCGTTTTGCCGTTTTGCCGCGCAGGCGCGGTCTTGACACGAGTGGCCGTGCCTGCTTGATTTGCGATTTGCAGGCGGTCGTTTTGAGGTGTCTTGCTTGGCAAGGAGCGTGCGAGCGCACTAGTAGTGGCATTTTCGTTGGCCCCAGCACTTTGGGTGGTTGCGCGTTGAATTCCGTGGCAGGCGTGCTGATTCTGTGGCAGGCGCGGGCAGCGCTTTGCACTTTGGAGTAGTTCCGAACGCGATGATTTGTAGGGTGTGCATTGAACTTCTTGGCAGGCGCAGCGCTTTGGAGGACGACTTGCAGCAGCGTTGATAGATAACTAGAAGAATGGGTGGCCCGAAAGTGCAACAAAAGGAAGGCAAGGCTAGTGGTCTCTATGCAAGATCTCCACTCAAGCTTCTCTGCGCAAGTCCTCGGCTCAAATTTCTTTGCTCCAAGAGCCGCGCGAGTTCTGTCGAGTTTTTATGGCTGGTAGTGGGCTAGAGTGAAAATTGGTAATTATGGCAGTTTGATTGCTGGCATGTTCCATCAATGTTCTTGAGCGTTTTGCTTCTCGACATGTTTTATCATCTATCCCCCGCAGCCGCGGCATTGTGCTGGCAATGTTCTGCAACTGGGTTTTCAGCAAAGCCGATGTCCTTGTGAAGATCTTCACGTTTGAGCCAGCGCTTGTTTGAACAAGCGCCTTTTTTGCGTTTCTGACCGGAAGCTGCAACTCTAACTTCGTATTCTGCAAGGCGAGTGGCCGAATTGGCCCGCTTTGGCCCGCGCGAAATGCTACACTTTGGGGATTGGAAAGAGGCTTGACAAGCGTGTTTGGGCCCGGACATCAGTGTGGAGTGCAATTCAGCAGAAGCTTTCCCGCTCGAAGGGAGTAAAAGATGCAAGCAGCGCATATCCTCCAACACGGACTTGCAAATTTTACTCCAGGTTGGTGTCACTGCGCTGCTGGGCCCTCTCGAGTTGGGACACTGAGACGTGAGACGGAGGCCCCCGTAGTGATGCTGAGCAAAGGGCGCCAAGGCCATTTGCACATATGCAGGCAACTCCAAGCTAAGCGTTGGCATACCCAATGCAGCCTCGGCCTCTTGAACCCTGAAGTTGGTGTTTGCTTTAAAGCTGCCTTCAGCACTGGCCAGCCCTGGACCCACGTTCACATCACGCTACGCAGCAACGAAAGGTGGAGATCCAGACGCAGTTGAAGAAAACTGGAGACTAACTTCACATGCAAGCCTGTGGACAGGTAAAGTCTCCACATGTGCAGGCCCATTTGCTGAAGGGTGACGAAGAGACTCAGGATCAGAAGCAGACAGGATAACCAACAACAGGGCCTGAGCCAGATGCTCCTGCGCCATCCCTTTATGAGCCAACGTCACTTCCACTTGCCTGAGGGAGAACCCACAAGCGATTGTCGCGGCCAGATGCGTTGAAGAAGCTTCGCTCCAGCGTCGCGTGAATACCGACCAATTTCGATTTCGAACTCGGGCGCCCCGCTTGCCAAAATTCATCTACGACCGCTTCGCAGAAGGTTCGCGATGAATGTGAAGTTTGCACCATCAAGAAGTAGAACAAGTGGACTTTGATCAGACACATTCCGTGATATGACTTTCACCGGTCGCTGTCTTTCATTGACTACTGTCAAGTTCCACCCGGATCTGGGAAACCGATCATCGTGCTTGTCATTTTGGATGGAGCAGTGGGCAGAAGCGCTGAATACAACACAAGAGTCTACGGACGCATGGGATAATTTCTATCATTCCCGCGGCGTATTATCGCTGGATTCGAACACACCATGGTGAACCGAGCAGAAACAGCAGTGCGACGCTTGAAGGCGCAGCTCAATCAGAGCAGGAACTGCGCCTGCTACGCTCAAGATGGTCACCTACCGACAACTTGTCAAAGCCTCTGCAGCAGAACCAGACCGTCACCTACTGGGGTGCAACGCCGTTGGAAGAAGACCAGCAGATCTCACTCAACTAGATCTTGCGACCGCGGAGCTTACCAATAAGACGGATGAGGAATTGACAGCAAGTTCCATCCCCGGCATGGAACTGTGTTAGAGAAGGGAGTTGCAAGATTCAGTCAATGCTGCGCGCTTGCAGGATAAAAAGTTGGAACTCCCGTTGACAGTAGACCAGGGTGTTGGTGTCATAACCCGCCAGTCTTCAGACAATGCAAGAGTTTCACTGGTTGAGTGAAACATGAGCACCAGCCTTTGGAAGGAATTGCGTTCGGAAGCAGAACCAAATTAGCACAGGTATACCGTATACCACCGGTTTTGCCAGAACCTTGCGCGCATCATGTTGGGTCACCTCAATGCGAAACCGCTTCGCAACAAGGTGTGCCTTCTGGAGGACAACCAGCAGTGCTCTTCGCCAGGAGGTGGATGCCATTGATCAGGAGTACAACATGACCAGCAGCAGTGCTGCTGTTAAGGTTCAAGATCTCTCGTTCAACCGACAAGCTCACTCAACCATTTGCCATCAATGGTCCATTAGCTCGGAAGCCTCACCAGGCGCAGGGATTCATCTTCTCGCCACGATTCAAGTGATGTCAGCGTGTGGACCCTCTGTGTGCCGTCTATGGAGCATGTTGGAACCAGCGTGCCATTCGCGTCGCCCCCAGATGATGCTTGCGTATTTTTGTGGCAGGCTGGCAGCCCGGCCAGCTGAATAGAGTCATGTCCGCATACACATGCGATTGGGGTGGGTTTGATCCAAGCCAACGGCGGGTGACCGTGTGTTCATCAGTTCGCAACTCATGAACAGAGGCGCCAGCAATCAAGCAAATGCCCATTGACCAGGAGGTGTGTCACCAGACAGTCCGGTCGAGCCAGCGTCCCTGCCGCCGGACGACAAGCCTGGCAAGCCACCAGGCAAACGGCAAGAACAGTCAATTTCCTCTTCAAGTGGACTCAATCAACCGGGGGGTGACGCTCCTGGGCCAACCCAATCGCAGCCGACTCAGCCCAATTTACCGACGGGTTGCGGTGCCATCACCGCCAGCTACTTTTTGAACATCCCGCAAAATGAGACGATGACGAACAGCTTGAACTGCCAAGTCTTGAGCCAGCAGAAGCACAGGAACCTCAATTCCTTGGAAGAATCCCCCGAAGAAGCAGAAAGCTAGAAGAAATTACATGATCAGACACCTGACTCTTCTAGAGACAATCCGAACAATCCAGCCAATGTACCAATGGGTTCAGATGATGAAGAGGAACTCGTTCCTCACGTTCCGACATCATCAAGTGCTGGAAGTTCGCCAATATATTCTGATCAGGATGAAGACGGCGGCCAACGGTTCTCAGAGGACACCCCCCGACCTTGTGCTCGATCAGAAAATCTGTTCGAACACCGGGCCCTTTACAGCTCCAAGACATTGACGGGCACCCAGTTCTACTTGGCAGAGGCCAGGAACCTTCAAACCAACTCCTCGCGGTTCTTTCATCAGAGATTCACGCATACGAGCAGTGTGGATCGTCTATGCAGGATGGTGGCTTTTGTATTGCGCGCCAGGAATCACCCAACGCTTTCACTACAGCAGCCCTATTGGGAGGAAGAGGAAAGAGGCCACGGCCGCAGCAGCGCTAGAGTGCAACCCATGATTTGGTAATGAGGTGTTTGACCTTGTTGACGGTAATTTCCTGAAGAGCAAGGCT